CAAACACAGCACCAATGATGAGGCTGGTGCAGGACCAGGCAGTGTTTGGCTCTGCGGTGCATGGGGTTGCCACAAGTCAGTGCCGACTCAAAGGCATCCAACAGCAAGAAACAGGCAAATGCTTAACCAGTTTCACCATCAAGGGCTCACGTAGGAGTATGTTATTGTTTGGTGTGGTCGCGTCAGTTCTGACTCACACTGACTGTGGTAGTTACGTCATCTGGTGTCAACTTGAGACTACTAAGAGTGAAGGGGTGGAGTTTAGCCTGTCAATCAAGTCACAGTTTGATGACCTCATTGGGAGGTGCTAAGGAGATAAATTGCTCACTGGAGGCCAGACGCACACTCTCTGTTTTGTCTTCCTGCTGACAAGACACATGGAGCTACGCTGATGGAGCTACAGCCCTGGAGCTGGAGAAGCCACGTGGAGACCCACAGCGCTGAAGTGCTTTCACTGCCACTGGATCCACAAGACTTTCCACCCACTGGCCTGTGATCTTCCCCCATTCGGCGTAATTGCACATGTTGTGTGAGTCTGAAGAGGAGTTTATAGACTGGTATTGGACATATGGACTAATATCGGACGTATGGACTCGATCTGGTCTGGGGTGGGATGTTTTCTTAATATTCAATTACTCCTTACATAAAGCTCTTTGTTTTTCTTTAATCATTTTACTAGGGGCTCATACAACTTATCACAATCCATACATACATTCACTGTGTCAAGCACATTTGTACATTTGTTGCCGTCATCATTCTAAAAACATGTGCTTTCTAGTTGAGCCCTTGATATCAACTCATTTTTACCCTCCCTCCCCACACCACCCTCCCTCATGAACCCTTGATAATTTATAATTTTTTTCTTAGCTCCCATTTAATGTTAGTCATAGTAAACATTTAGAAATTTTCTATACACCAAGACAAGTACATGCAGTGTTACAAATATAGAAAATATCAAGTGCATGCATATTTCAAAGACCAGGGAATGGTGTCCCTTAAGGATTCTTATACAAAGCTATTCAGTGCATGTTGTATGCGCAGAAGGCTTTCCCACATATGGAGTATTGAATATTTTTTTAAAAGTTAATACGTTAGATACTTCAGATGTTTAGCTACTCTGAACAGAACTTATAAAATTCATCACTGACTCTCTCTCTCTCTCTCTCTCTCTCTATATATATATATATATATATATATATATATATATATACACACACACACACATATGTTTTCTGTCTTACATTGAGTACCTACACTGTGCAAGCCAATCAGAGCACAGACTACTGATACATACCTACTAGGTGACAACATGGAACCATTAAGGGAATACTTTTGCCTGGATAATTTATAAATGATTATTTTGTCATATCTTACAATGTCTGGCGTCTCCTTCACCCACTTTTCTGTTGTCTGTCCCCCAGGGAGGAGGTTATATGTAGATCCTTGTAATCAGTTTCCCTTTTCTACCCCACCTTCCCTCCACCCTCCCGGTATTGCCACTCTCACCACTGGTCCTGAAGGGATCATCTGTCCTGGATTCCCTGTGTTTCCAGTTCCTATCTGTACCAGTGTACATCCTCTAGTCTAGCCAGATATGTAAGGTAGAATTGGGATCATGATAGTGGGGCGGGGAGAGGAAGAATTTAAGAACTAGAGGAGAGTTGCAGGTTACATTGTTGCTACACTGCCCTCTGACTGGCTCATCTCCTCCCCAAGAGTCTTCTATAAAGGGCTGTCCAGTTGCCTATACATGGGTTTTGGGTCTCCAATGTGCACTCCCCCTCTTTCACAATGATATGATTTTTTGTTCTTTGATGCCTGATACCTCATCACTTCGACACCTCGTGATCACACAGGCTGGTGTGTTTCTTCCATGTGGGCTTTGTTGCTTCTGAGCTAGATGGCCGCTTGTTTACCTTCAAGCCTTTAAGACCCCAGATGCTATATGTTTTCATAGCCGGGCACCATCAGCTTTCTTCGCCACATTTGCTTATGCATTTGACTTCAGCGATAGTGTCGGGAAGGGAAGCATCATCGGATGTCAGTTGAATAGAACAAAGTGTTCTTGAGTTGAGGGAATACTTGAGTGTAGGCCCAATGTCCATCTTAAAGCTCTTTCTTATACACATATGAGTGACTATGAATGTGTTTCTCCGGTCAACCCAGCCATTCACAGTGACCCCATGTCCACCAGAATGAAGCATAACCCCATCCTGTCCTGCGCATCATCCTCACCACTTGTCTGTTTGTCATAAGACTCCACTCAGAAGGGATTAGGACTAGGACCCACCCAACTCCAGTATGATTTAACCCATCATGTCTACAGGTAGGATCCCCAGACTAGGGCCCTTAGTCATCCTTCGGTGTGGAATTGGAACTTCATCCCTCCCGGCCCCCACCCTGCAAATTAAAATCATCAACCATCAAAGATCAAAAGGGCAGCATGAATCCAACATCAGAGTTCAGAGGGTTGGGAAAGGAGAAGGGACAGAAACAGGAAGCACAGGGAGAAAGACTAGGAGAGGGTCCACGGAGGGACTGGCAATGGAAGAGTTGGAGCAAAATGAGTCGTGGAATATAAAACTGATGGTCTGCCCTGTGCGCCCTCCCCCAATTCACAATTACACGTTTTGAAAAGAAACCTATCGATGAAGTCTTCAAAGAAGTATCTTGCATTCCCCAACAGAGAGTCGCATTCTCAGATATAGAGATTGGGGCTGCCACGTGTCTTTTGAAGGGGACAGTCCAATCCACAAGAGCTCAGATGGAGCTCTCCTTGGAGATGCCCATGAGGAGTCTGTTTCTGCATGACTCAGCCCTATAATGGCTGTGACAGACGGCACAAAGGGCCCTCAGTTCTCCACTCCTGGGTCCACATCCTATTGCAACATAACTTCGCAGAGATTGCCATCAAGAGATGTGGTCTAGCATGTGTCCCCTTGAGCCTATGCAATGTCCTTGGGTGGCACCAGCAGTTAAGTGCTCAGCAATCTGACTCCAGAGCCAACTCAGAAGACGTCACGACAATCTATTCCCCTAATGAGCACGGCCATCTAAAACCATATGGAGCGCATCTCTGCCGCGAAACATAAGGGATCCTCAAGAGTTTGAATTGACTCAACAGCATTTCGTTTGCTTTTGGCTCTGGGCCCGCACTGCAACCTGTTTCCTCCATCAGAATGCAGCTGTAGTCATGCTAGGCCAAGTTCCAAGCAAAGCTTAGGCTTCGAGACACTTTGTATGGTTCCCTTCTCAACCCTGATACCCTCCCCAGCCACCACGTCAACATGCCTAAGCTATCCTATGGGATACTCAGAGAGAAATAGTTCGGTCCACCCCATCATCCCAGGGGCATCCTCAAAAAAACGAGAGTCATTCCGTTGAACCACAGCGGAACACAGATTCATGAGAGAATCCAGCTGCAACTGGAAGAACGGTTCAACTGAGCCCAGATCCAAATTTCAGACCCTCAGAAGTCATAAAAGGCTGCACCTTTCCTGTCTCCTTTGCTGTTGTTGAGTGTTTTGACCACACGGATTCTCATCAAAAGAGGAAGCATGCAGAACAGAATTTCAAACTCTTGTGGAATCCGATTGCCTGGAGGCACTGAGGCTGAATGACTCCCACTTCACCATCAAATTATCAGCCCCAAGATCATCTTTAAACCTTCAACCAGAAAGATCCCCTGAAGCCTTCTTACAAGAATCAAACAACAGTGTCACTTACCTAGTAAAGGCTGTCTGCCTTGAGCATTCTGCTTTTTTAAAAGAACATCATGGCTGGTCGAGGGTCATTGACAAAGAAGACCCTCACCAAGGAGGATTGGCCCAGTGGCTCAAACATACCCATGGTGCGGATAGCGATGGACTTGGCAGTGTTTCGTTCCATTGCACATGAGGTGGCTATGAGTCGGCATCAGTTTGACAGCATTTAATAAGAACAACATGGGAAACAACAGCGATGTGGTAGTTCCATAATTTTGTGTCAACTTGAACACATCAAAATGTAGGCATGGAGTCTAGCCTGTCAATCAGGCCACAGCTCCTGGTGAGCATGGCCTTTTCTCACAAGGAGGATCCTGGGAACTCCCTCGCTCTCTCTGCTTCACCTGCCTGTTGATGAGCCACACTGGTGGCAGCCAGAGTCCTGGAGATGGGTTCACCGCCATTGGATCCACAAGACGTTTCACCCACCGGCCTGGGATCTTCCTGTATTCTGTATCATTGCGTGTGTCTGTGTGAGTCTGAAGAGGGACTTCTGGACTAGTATCAGACTTATGTAGTAGTATCGGATCTGTGGACTTGATCTAGACTGGGCTGGGATGTTTACTTGATAGATTTCTTCTGGATAAAAAGCTCTCTCTTACACATGCATGTGCCCCTGGATTTGTTTCTCTAGTCAACATAGAACCTTAGGGGGCAGTGAGTTTATGTTAACGGGGGAAGAACAACTCAGGAAGAAAGGTGAAAATGATTGCATAGCTCAAGGAATGCTATCGACGCCCCTGGATTGTACATGTGGAGATGGTTGAATTTACATTCTCAATAATGACGATAATGACATTTTTTAAAAAATTCAAGGTTGTTCTTTTCAGCTATTAAATTTGGGGATGCACCTTAGCAGTGGAAGCTAACTGATACATGTGCATTGTGGACAATAGAAACGAGAGAGAAGAAGAATGGAGAGCATGTTCTTTGCATTTAGAGGCATGTCCAGGACACTGGCATCTTACTGACCAGAATTCAGTCCCATGACCATGCTGCATTGAAAAGGACACTGCGAAATACAATCTTTGTTGTTGTTGTTCTTCCTGGCTAGCCATGTGCCGAGGTAACCAGACAACAGGAATCATTTCCTTACTCAAAGGGAAGGGAGAATGGATACTAGGAAACAGCAACTAAGGAGATTTAGATGACGGAGTGTTAGGAAGACTTCCCGGGAGAAGAGGCAGGCTTGGTCAGGGTCTTGGAAGTCCGCCCAGAGAGGAGAGGGACTCCAGGTTAAACAGAAGGACTTCCAGTGTCCACTCGAAGGTCTCCCTCATTGCCCATGGACTTAACCTTGGGAGCAGATTGACTGAGAAGCCCCTCCTCACCAAACGCCCTGACCAGGGCGGCAGGCATGGACTGGCAAAACTTCTTTTGGAAATCTCTGCCTATGAGAACATAAAGGAAAGGGTTGAGGCTGCTGTTGAGACAGCCCAGAGAGAAGGCACCCCAAAGGAAGAGCTGCATCTTGGGGTCGACAGGGCTTTCAGACCTCATGAAACGCCACCCCTGGACGCACAGTGCCAAGTTAAAGGGGAACCAGCAGATGAAGAAGGCAGCAACCTCTTGGTCCAAGTGCCATGAACCCGACCCTCCCGCCGGAAACGGACCCGGATGAGGTGGGCACAGGTACCGATGACCACCAGGGGCACCAGGAAGCCCAGCAGGAGATGAGCGGCAGTTATCGCCAAGCGTCTCCCCAAAACCACTTGATTGATAGTCAGGCTTCCACTCGGCGTTTTGTTCTTCGGGCCAAAGTTGTAGTAGCAGTAGGTGCAGTTTTCCCAGAGGCTAGTGGTCCGGAATTTCAGGTACGGAGAGCAAGTGACAGCAGATAGCAGCCACACAGCGGCAGCCAGCCAGCTTGCCCCTCTTACCGTGCGATGGTTCCGGGCCCAGACGGGGTAGAGGACAGAGATGCAACGGTCCACAGAGATGAGGACCAGGATGCTGATGCTGGTGAAGAAAGTGAGGTTGAGGAGGGACTGGTAGAGTTTGCAAACCCATTCGCCCAAGAGCCACTGTCCAACGGTTAGCATATGTATGGTGATGGGCAAGGAGAGTAAGACGGTGAAGTCAGCAAGAGCCAGGTTGAGGAACCAGGTGGTGGTGACGGTGCGGGGCATTCGGAAGATGGTCATCCAGAGGACCAGCCCATTGCCCACTAAGCCGATGACGAAGGCTATCGACAGGATGGCTATGGTCACCTGGCGGAGATACCACACCTCTTCAGGCTGGCAACTGGAGGTTATACTCGCCTTCATTGTTCTAGAACATAAATGACCCAGGTCAGTGCCCCAGGCTCATTTTTAACAGAGCCCACAACCCCTTTAAGACCTCATTCACTCACTCCCCTTTCGATGTGTCTCTACGGAGTGCCTACCATATCAACAAATCCTTATGGAGGGCTGATTACATGATGATGTCACCATTGCAGGCACAAGGGGACGTAGGGCCTACAACAAAACAGGGTCTGTGTGGGACACACCTCAAGCAGAGGTGGAAACCATTACAAAATTAGATATCATAAACAAATCCACGATTGAGGCTGCTGTCACGGTTGGCTGCCATTGGATGGACCCCATGTAACGGAGCCGAATTGTCTCCCAGGGTTTTCTTGACTAACCCTTTCACAGAATGGTGGCACAGAGGGTTAAATGAAATGAGGGAAACCAGTAAAGCAGGCAAGTTGGGCGTGAGATCAGGAGTTCGAGGTTCAATACGTTGTGTGAGGTGGGTGTTAGATGTTAAGTCGATAGTTGGATCAATAAGATTATGGGGAAAGGAGCTCTCCCAGCTGGAGCTAGATATGTGAGAGCCAGTAAAATTTCGATGTAACCCCTCTCCCTAAGTCTTGCATATGAAAGACTGTGGCAGTTATATAACCTCCTGTCAACTTGTGAAGGGGTCTAGCCTGTCAATCGGGTCACAGCGTGATGACCGCATTTGGAGGCATGAAGGCGAGAGATAGCTCACTGGAGGCCAGACACACCCTCTCTCTGCTTGTCTCCCTGGGAGACATTCCTGTTGACAAGCCACATGGAGCTATGCTGATGGCAGCCAGAATTTTGGAGCTGGAGGAGCTACATGGAGACCTACGCCAGTGCCAACATCCTTCCACCACCACTGGATACACACGACTTCCCACCCACTGGCCTGTGGTCTTCCTGCATTCGGCATCATTGCATGTGTTGCGTGAGTCTGAAGAGGAATTACAGACTCGTGTTGGGCATATAGACTAATACCAGACATAAGGACTTGATCTAGCCTGCGCTAGTATGTTTTCTTAGGGTAATACTGCTCTTTGATATACAACTCTTTTACACACCTATGAGTCTCCCTGGATTTTTTTTCCTCTAGTCTACCCGGACTAACACAAAGACCAAGGAAGTGGGTGTAGACAGAGGAGAGACTTCTTCTGGTATTGGCAAAGGAGTGTGAGCGTCGGAGCACCTAACAGCCCAAGGTTGCAATTCTATTTCAGATAATGACTCCGTGACTCCAGGCCAGGAGCTCCCTGTCTCTGAGGGCCAGTGTGCTCACCTTTGAGAGAAGTAATAGAGCCTTTGAACAGATCCCCCCCTCTGCTGGCCCCACCCCCAGTGCATCACAAAGCCCTTTTGGCTTTTGCCTCCGGAAAGTCTCTTGTACCTGTCTACTCTTCCTTCTTGCCACCAGAGTCCACTCTTTCGGTGGCCAGCACCCCAGCTCCTATATTTGCTCCCCACCCCCACCCCCACCCCTAAGTCATTCACCTCACCACAGCCCGAAGGATCGCTCGGCAACTCCAATCAGAAAACCCTCCTGTGGTTCCTTGTGCTCACAATAACTATGACTAAGAGGCTAGCAGTTCAAACCCACCCGGAGACACCTCTGAAGAATGCTGATCTTTTTTTTTTTTTTTTAAACATTTTATTAGGGGCTCATACAACTGTTAACGCAATCCATGCGCACATCAATTGTGTAAAGCGCATTTGTACATCATTCTCAAAACATTTTCTCTCCACTTAAACTCCCGGCATTAGGTCCTCATTTTTCCCTTCCCTCCCCGCTCCCCCCTCCCTCATGAGCCCTTGATAGTTTATCAATTGGTATTTTGTCATATCTTGCCCTGTCCGATGTCTCCCTTCACCCACTTTTCGGTTGTCTGTCCCCCAGGGAGGAGGTCACATATAGTTCCTTGTCATCGGTTTCCTCTTTCCTACCCATTCTCCCTTTACCCTCCCTGTTTCACCACTCACACCACTGGTCCTGTAGGGCTCATCCGCCCTGGATTCCCTGTATTTGCAGTTCCTATCTGTACCAGTGTACCTCCTCTAGAATGCTGATCTGATGCTGAAAGGAAAATCCTAGCAGCATGGTCTCTGTTCTGGAAGGTACAGGGTCATCTCGAGTTACAATCCACTCGATGACAACTTAAAAATAGATTTTCTTTAAATTTGTCTATCCCAGTGATGTCTCCTCTTCCTATCCTTCCCAAGAACCCCCCTGCCCACCCCCCAGCTCCTCGAGGACCCTCCCAGCAAATCCCAGCCTTGTGTCACCTTGTGTGGGGGAGTCTTCAGCACCTCTGTCGGGGTCTCAGTCTATCCTGGAAGCTGCCCACCCAGAGCCCAGATTGGGGTGAGAGAGCAGGTGACAGGAAGCTGACCAGTGGGTTTTGAAAGAGATAAGGGTCCAAGAAAGTCTTGCGCAAGAATGGTGGCAACCAGAGATACACTGATATCCGCCAGGGAAGCCTCACCAGATATGGGTGGGCCCTGACAGGCCCTGGGGGGTTGGGACGATAGGGGGTGCTAATGAGGAGAGCGATACCAGGCAGGCCACTCATGGACCACTCCAAATCTCCTTGCCTATCCTTTCTGGTGCCCCAGGCCACTGCCCCAGCCGAGGAAGGGAATCCCACTGCACTGAGCACCCAAAGCCAGGTCACCGAGTCAACCAATGTTGACTCGTGGAGACCTCATTGTGTCTGAGTAGAACTGCTTACAGGGTTTTCAGTAGTTGATATTTTGGAAGAACAGCAATGCACTGATCCTTCCGGGATTCCTCTGGGCAGACTCGAATGTCCAACCTTTCCGTTAACAGCCAAGGACGCCAAATGTTTCACATCAATCAGCGACTCCACATTAAGTACCTGCACCGCGTTTTCAGAGTCCCGGGTGTTGCTAACAGTTAAGCACTCAGCTAGGAACCCAGGGCTGCCATGATTGCATGTTGGCTGCTAACTGCAAGGTCAGCAGTTTGAAACCACCAGCTGCTCCCCAGGAGAAAGATGGGGCTTTCTAATCCCATAAAGAGAGATTGTCTTGGAAGCCCACAGGGGCAGTTCTACTTATAGGGTCCTTCTTGTAGGGTCACTATGAGTCGGCATTGTCTCGATGGCAGTGAGTGACTAGCCCAAAGGTTGGTGGCTTAAACCCACCTAGAGGTACCCTGGAAAAAGCACAAGGTCAGAGTCTCAAGGCCATGCTCAGCGTACCTTTGTCACACGGATGCCGGCTGTCGGAGGGTGAGAATTATTTCTGATTGGAGAATGTGTGTGAGTGAGGCAGCATCATCCACCTGCTCCACTTCAATTACCATAGGTTCTTTCTCTTTTTTTTGTTCAAAGTAGGGTTAGCTAATTGCATCTCAGAAAAGCAATCAAAGTTCTGTCTCCTGATGCAGCACAAACAACAGCAAACAAAATCACTGCCATCAAGTGGATTCCCGCGCATAGAGGTTCTAGAGGACACAGTAGAAATGGCCCTGTGGGTTTCCAAGACGTTAACTCTTTTTTTTTCTTTCAATTTTCAAAAAATCATTTTAGTGCGGGCTCTTACAGCTTTTATCACCATCCATCCATTCATGGTTTCAAGCACATTTGTACGTATGCTGCCATCATTTAAAAAACATTTTCTTTCTACTTGAGCCTGCGATCTCAGCTCATTTCCCCCCTTACCCAACCTCCATCCCTCGTGAATCCTAGATAATTTGTCATTTTTTTCATGTCTTACACCAACCACTGTCTCCCTTCACCCACTTTTATGTTGTCTGCTCCATCCCCTTGGGAGAGGGTATATGTAGATCATTGTGATCTGTTCCCCCTCTCTGCCCCCACTTTCCCCTTCCCCTCCTGGTATTTGCTACTCTCATTATTGGTCCTGAGGGGTTTATCTGTCCTGGATTCCCTGTGTTGTGAGTGCTTATCTATACCAGTATACGTGCTCTGGTCTAGCTGGATTTATAAGGTAGAATTGGGGTCAGGATCGAGGGGTGGGGGAGGAAACATTGATGAACTAGAGGAAAGTTGTATGTTTTGTCAGTGCTATACTGTACTGTGACTGGCTTGTCTCTTCCTTGTGACCCTTCTGTGAGGGGATGTCCAATTTTGTACAGGTGGGCTTTGGGTGTCCACTCAGCACTCCCCCTCATTCACATTGATATGATTTTTTGTTCTGGATCTTTGATGCTTGATACCTGATCCCATTGACACCTCATGATCACACAGGCTGGTGTGCTTCTTCCATGTGGGCTTTGTTGCTTCTCAGCTAGATGACCATTTCTTTATCTTCAAGCCTTTAAGACCCCAGATGCCATATCCTTTGATAACCAGGCACCATGAGTTTTCTTCACCAAATTTGCTTATGCACCCACTTTGTCTTCAGTGAACCTGTCAGGAAGGTAAGCATCACAACATGCTGGGTTACTAGAACAAAATGTTCTTGCACTGAGGGAGTATTTGAGCAGAGGCCCAATATCTGTCTGCTAGATGATACCTCTTTATGGGAGTAGAAAACCTCATCTTTCTCATAAGGATGGACTGGTGGTTTTGAACCAATGACCTTGCAGTTAGCAGCCCAATCTGCACTCACTGCATCACCTGGGTTTCATCAAAAGTCAACACAGAAAAAAAGGTGAGATGCTCTTTAGTATTTTTTGTTTGTTTGTTTTTTCATTTTTAAAAAATTGATCACCTTTTATGGGAAATACTGACAAATGATCAGAACTTGAATTTTCATCAAGACGCTTTTCCTAATAATATGGTTCAACTGTGAATGTAAAAGGCGGGGGAGGGGGAGAGAGAAAGAAAACTTTGTTATTAGAGGATCTAGAGGGGAAAAACCAATGGTGAGAAATACAAATGATTTCAAAAGCAAAAAAGGCCCTGACCCACACAAACCACAAGGCTCATAATTGCAGCACAAAAGAAAAACTCTCCTGCGACCTGTATCGAGGCAGTCAGAACACCCCAGAAAATGAGACGTTTAGAAACCTAAGAGTTTAGAATTCTATCCGAGACTAGAGTCACATCCTGACACAACTCTTGTCTTGGTGTGCTACGGTTCTTGGAGAAGCTCCGCTGGCCTGGATCCACTGGTGGGGCAAACAGTGCCTCCACTAGTGCCCTGGTCAGAAACATGCTCTGCCAGGACCAGGCTCCTGGGAGGCGGGAATGGAGGGCATCTTTCTTTGTACCTATCAGTGTTGGAACCTGGTGTGTCACCCCCCAAAAAAAGAGTTTAGAATTCTAAACAGTTTAGAAAACAAATACACAATAAAGGTGAACGCGTGCACGCAAAAGCAAACTTCAGGGAACGGTTTTGGATTTTGAACAAAGAGACGTTTAATGTTCAAACACCAGAAAAACAGCTATTTGGAAACGGGGGCAGAAAAGACCAGAGCCCTGAAAATAGTATGGACCAGGGTGACTGCCCCACATGCTTTGGAATCAACAGGATTGCAGCTGGTTTGGTTGTGCTCTGGTTTTGCTGAATCTATATACCGTTTTGGTCTTTTTGACATCGTGCCTTCCAATCCATGAACAAGGAATATCATTCCGTGAATTGAGATCATTCACGATTTCAGGAGTGCTTCATGTGGCCGTGGTATTTTCAGGGAAAGCTGAGCCATGAGTTCAGGCAGACCGAGAGGAATGGATGGATGTGCAGTATGGCGTTGGTGATGGATACTGAGGGGGTTGTGCACTGCCAGAAGACCAACAAGAAGTCCAGCCAGAATGCTCCTTTGAAGCAACAATAGAAAGGCTTCATCTCGTGATTCTTGAGCGGTCACTGGAGAAGGACATCATTCCTGACAAAGGATCATCCAAGAAAGAGGAAGGCCGTCAAGGAGATGGATTGACGCAGTGGCTGCAACAATAGTGTGTTAGTCTGGGAGGACTAGAGAAACAAATCCAGGGAGACACACATATGTGTAAGAAAGACCTTTATATACAAGAGCAATTGAATACTGAGAAAACATCCCAGCCCAGTCCAGCTCAAGTCCAAAAGTCTGATATTAGCCTATATGTCCAATACCAGTCTATAATTTCCTCCACAGACTCATGAAACATATGCAATGATGTCAAATGCAGGAAGCTCACAGCCCAGTGTGAGGGAAGTCTTGTGGATCCAGTGGCGGTGTAAGCATCTCAGCGCTGACAGGGGTCTCCACTTGGCTCCTTCAGCTCCAGGGCTCTAGCGTAGCTCCATGTGCCTTCTCAACAGGAATATCTCGCAGGGAGTGAGTGTGTGCCCCACCTCCAGTGAGTTATTTATCTCCTTAGCACCTCCAAATGAGGTCATCAAGCTGCCACCTGATTGACAGGCAACACTCCACTCCATTCACTCTTAAGTCTCAAATTGACAACAGATTATGTAACTATCAAAATGGGTTCAGACCTAGGAATGATTGTGCGGATGGCACAGGGCTGAGTAATGTTTTGTTCTGATGTCCAGGAGATTGGTATGAGTCAGAACCAATTCAATGGCACCTGTCAACACAAATGGTTCTGTAGTTTTTTTTGGTACCAGTTTTATGCCTCTTTGGTTAAATTTACTCCTAGGCATTTAGCTCTTTCGTGGGAGAAAGATGAGGCCGTTCTACTCTGTTCTATAGCATCTTTTAGATGCTATTTTCAGTGGCATCGTTTTCTTTTCAGAACACTCACTGCGAATGCATAAAAATATGACTGATTTTTGCATTGACCTTGTAGCCTAACACTTTGCTGATCTCACGTATTAGTCCTTCCTTGTGCATTCTTTGGGGGTTTCTATATATAGGGGTATATATCATCTGTGAAAGGAAATACTTTTTCATTTGCTGCCTCTATTTAAATACATCTCATTTCCCCCTCCTCTTCCTCCTTTCCCCCCTCCTTCCCTTCTCCCTCCTCACTCCTCCTTTCTTGTTCTCCACCCAATTGCTCTGGTTGGAACTCGCCGTACAATGTTGAACAGCCATGGTGAGAGTAGGTGTCCTCATCTTATTCCTGATCCTAAGAGGAAAGCTCTCAGTATTTTTCCATGGACTATGATGTTCGCTCTGTGTTTTTAAAAATAAGTGACCTTTACCAGATTGAGGAATTTCCCTTCTATTTCTAGCTTGGTGTGTGTGTGTGTGTGTGTGTGTGTGTGTGTGTTTAATCTCTTTGTCAAATGCCTTCTCTGCATATGGATTCAGATGATTGTGTGACTCTTTTCCTTGGATCTATTAATATGATGTTCTCATGTTGAAACACCCTTCCATTCCTGGCACAGATCCCACTTGGTCATGGTGTGTCATCCTTTTAATACGTTTTTGGGATTCGGTGTACCAGAATTTTGTTGGAGAGTTTTGCATCTATACTCATAGGGCATATTGGCCTTGTCTTGGATTTGGTATCAGAATAAGGCTAGCCTCACAGAATGAGTTAGAAAGTGCACTCTGCTCTTCTTCTTCCCCTTCATTTTTGTAAGTTGAAGAAGGATTGGGGGTAACTGCTTCCATAAATGTTTGGTAGTATTACTCAGTGAAACCATATGGCCTGGGACTTTTCATTTGGGAAAGGTTACTGATGACTTATATATAGCGTTGTGTGTTAGTCCGAGTTGACTAGAGAAACAAATTCACAGACACTCATATGTGTGTAAGAAAGAGCTTTATACAAAAGGCCAATTGTACATTAAGAAAACATCCCAACCCAGGCCAAATCACGTCCATGAGTCTAATATTACTCCATATGTCAATATTAGTCCATAAGATCCTCTTTAGACTCATGCAGCCATGCAATGACTCCGAATGCAGGAAGATCACAGACCAGTGGGTGGAAATTCTTGTGGATCCAGTGGCGATGGAAACGTCTAAGCACTGGCATGGGTCTCCACATGGCTCCTCCAGCTCTAGGGCTCTGGTTCCATCAGCATAGCTCCATGCATCTTGTCAGCAGGAAGATGAAAGAGAGAGTGTGTCTGGCCTCCAGTGAGCTATTTACCACCGTCACACCTACAAATGAGGCCATAAAGCTGTGACCTGATTGACGGGCTAAACTCCACCCCTTCACTCTTAATAGTCTCAAGTTGACACCAGGTTATATAACTACCACCACAGGTCCTTATGAATTGGAACCAACTAGATGGTCAAGAATTATAGATGACTAATTCCATCTCTTCATGTGCTATACATTTGATGAGATCATCTATCTCCTCTTGAGCCAATGTAGGAAGCGTGTGTGCTTCTAGGACAGCATTTAAGCTGTGAAAGAGGCAATAAAGATCTTCCCATAGCGAAGTGCAGAATTGGCAGCTCATTGCTGATATCGTAAATTCAGAAGTCAGGCTTCCAGAATGATGAAGAAATTAAATTCTGTTGAGTTAAGAAACCCACATCCTGGTACTTTATTACAACAGCCTTAGAAAATGAATACAGGATAACTGACCATTAACCTCTGTGTTGGTCATTTCAATGAATTGGGTATGCATGTGAGCGAGAAAAGTGACACCTATCTCACACCGTACCAAACAACCTTTCCACAAGGAAAGCAGAACTAAATGTTCAAGTTAAAAAATGTCTTTTTCAAAGATGATACGGTAAAGCATCATCATACATTTTAAACAGACAGTAATTTTCCTACAGGTTACAGAAAGTGCTAACAAGAACGAAAAATATATATACTAAGATTAAGAACTTTTACTCAATAGTGTTGAGGTTAATTTGAATATTCTGGACAACACGGTTGGCTGTTACTCCAGGGCAAAGTTGCTGTTGCTTTTAAATCTCTTTGTTCATGAATAAGAGTCTTGGGGAGAAATACAAGTATTTGGAGATATACTGCTTCTATCAGACATTCTATCAGTTTTACTATCACTGGTCATTCTTGCTTGGATCCATTATAACTATAATATGACTTATGCCCAAGGGTGACCTTCTAATGCCTCCATCCTTTTAATAGTTGGCACTTTCCGGTAAAGACAAGCCCTCTCTTTTGCCCTGTTTGTTTATAACAGGATAGCTTCATGGATTCTAGTTTTATTCACTTAAGACTAACCCATCACCATTATTTTTTTATTTGTATGTCCATTGAACCGAGTCGAGTCAATTCCAAGTTGATTCTGACTCACAAGGACCCCATATTTTCACTGCCCTGAATGCTGACTCATAGCGACTCCCCTGTGGGTTTCCGAGACTCTGTTTACAAGAGGAGAAAGCCCAGTCTTTCTCCCAAGTTGCTGCTGCTGGTTTCAAACTACTGACCATGTGGATAGCAGCCTAACTTGTAACCACTACACCCCCAGGGCTCCCATATAAGACAAGGTCTAATGGTCCCTGTGGGTTTCTGAAATGGTAACTCTTTACAGAAACAGCATCATCTTTCTCCAAGTGGCTGTTTCAAATGGCTGACATTGCAGTTAGCAGCCCACTCTGCCACCAGGGTTCCTGTGTTACTGTATGTATCACTCCATATTTCCATAGTATGTTCACGTCACGCTGACTCCCGTGGCCTTTTGATCCAGCCTATTGTACTTCCTTCACATCCTAATTTTGGGGCACAGCAAGAAGTTCCAGACTCACTGCGTCTTCCCAGCCTCGGCCCTGGGCCCAGCCCTTCTGTCAATGAGCACTGCTTGCTTCTAGTTGAGAATGGTACTTAGTAACTCAACTCTGGGAGCTCGGTATACTCAGCACGACTGTGTCAAGTCCTCTCAGCTGTCTTAAGTGAGGATATAGATCTATGAACACACACACAGACACACATACCTTTTAATTATTATAATGATCTATCCGTGTGCTTCTAATATCAGCCCAACATTACAGGCTTCTATTCTGAGCCATTTCCATAGTGTGTTAGTCTGGGTGGACTAGAGAAACAAATTCATAAACACTCATATGTGTATAAGAAGGAGCTTTATATCAAAGAGTAATTGTATATTAAGAAAACAACCCCCCCAATAAAACGAAATAGATCAGCTCAATTTTTAAAAAAAGAATGAAAAAAAAATCCCAGCCCAGACCAGATCAAGTCCATAAGTCCGATATTAGCCATAGGCCCGATACTAGTCTATAAATTCCTCTTCAGACTCACACAACACATGCAATAACTCAGAATATGGGAAAATCACAGGCTGGTGGGTGGAAAGTCTTGTGGGTCCAGTAGCAGTGGAAGC